GTTTAAGCGACCAAATCACGTGTGGTGAGAGGCCTTGCTGGCAACCGGCGCTGCTAGGTTGCAGGTTAACGGTTAAATTATCAGAGTTAGGACTATTGTAAGCAAAGTGTTATATCTGAATTGTATTAGGTGGTATTTGGTGAATTTTACTTGATCCCCTTTTTCCATTCGATGGGTAATCTATTTATATGGATTCTCCAGGGCTAGGGTTTATGGATTCCCCAATGTAGTCTCGTTGATTCCCCCTTTTTAGTGAGATTGTTGACTGACTATATCTCTGGAGTCAACAAGGACTTTTTCTTACTTAGCTTATATATTGAAGGGGCCGCATGGGCGTGTCCATGGAACTGCGTCTGGGCGACTCATTTGTTAGGCGATGAACGCCCTAATATAAGACTTTGCCGAATAACACACTATAATATCTAGTACTTTCGATGTTGTTGGCATTCATGAATATCAAGCAGACTAGGCTCTGCATCAAAAAGAGAACTTGGTGTTGAGTTCTTTAGAGATGGTGAAGACTGATGTAGAAAGACTTTTTAAGCCATCCAAGTTTGTTTCAGGCCCAAAAATAGCATTTTAGTATTTTTTGCAAATTTCTATTTTATTTCTTTTTTTTTAATAAAAGCACATTAGGTTTTTTTTTTCCTATTGTATTTATGTTTTGGATTAAAAGTTCATTAGGATTTTCTTATATGTATTTAGACACTCTTAGGAGTGGCTGCCAGAATTTTCTTTGATTTAATAAAATTCAGTATTTTCTTTATTTGGTGAATTTCAAAGTTTATCTGACATGTTTCCGCTTGCAATCTTGTGCTCTCATTCTTGTTTTAGCGATTGCTAATCCCTAGTGTTTCTGACTACATCACTCAGGCTAACAATAGGCCGACCTATTTAGCCTATATATATATATATATATATATATATATATATATATATATATATATATATATATATATATATATATATATATATATATATATATATATATATATATATATATATATATATATATATATATATATATATATATATATATATATATATATATATATATATATATATATATATATATATATATATATATATATATATATATATATATATATATATATATAAAAGGATGCATAATCTTTTTTAATAGCATAAGCATAATCTATTTATTTAAATAGGTTTTAAAAAATACCTAAACCTAACTTATTTATAAAATAGGTCTGGTCTATCCTGACTTCAAATAGGTTAAGCTATAGGCCCTTGTAGGCGGATCTGTCATATTTCCATCTCTACCTTGAGACATGTATCGGGGTCGTCTGCATACAAAAAATCTACCTCTCGCTTGAGGGACTCAATTAGTATCTCACCTCAAGGACTCAATTAATGTCTTGCTTGAGGGAATTCATTAATGTTTCGCATGGAGAGTTCAACTTAAAAATGTCTCACGTACGATCCCCTAGAGTGTCCGAATGAGAAAACTAAATCACTTCAGCCTTTTTTCAAATCATTGTGCTTGAGGGATTGTGTGTTGGTATATTTGTGAGAAGGTCTTCAAAAGCGACATGAGGGCTTTTAGTCACCCCTTTATTAGACCAGTCTCTTATTTACTATATATTCCGCCTTCCTTTGGGATAAGTCGTCCGACGTGAGAATTGGTGAATGACGTGCCCTCATTCTATAATGACACAAACATTAGTCATGAAAGAGTTAGATTGCGCTCCTCTGAATATTAGGAAACAAATTATCCATTCCTTGATTAGTTGTTATTTCAAAAGAAGTATTGGATTCAGTCTTGTGACTATAAATACCCTTAATGTAACACCTGAGGTCGAAGAGGACGGAGAATGGTTACATGTAATACCTGAGGGCGAGGGAGTGGTTGTCGGTGCATGAGACGTGACAATGAGACATTCTTAGCAGCTTATAGGGAAAAACCGAATTCACATTGGAATGAGATGGATCCTTAGGTTGTGCAGGTATGAGATTGCATGCTTGAAGGAAGACTTATAATGATTAATTGTTTCTACCTATACCAACAAGATGCATCTCCTTTTCAGTAACCTGTTTCATAAAAACTCCACAGTTAAGCGTGCTTGACTTGGAGTAATTTTGGGACGGGTGATCTTTTGGGAAGTTTCTTGAAAAGTGTGTGAGTGAGGACAAAGCATGCTAAAAAAACTTGTGTTGGTTTGTGGGTCAGTCGATAATTCTGAAAGCAGACTGAAATGTTACACTTAACACTATGGTTGAGGAAGACCGAACTCGAACTCGAATACAAAAATACACATACATAGTTTCTCACCCCTATGTGAGGTAGCTCTCAATCATACAATAAACATTAAAAGTTCTGACAACCCTGAATCACTAAGTATTATCACACATTTCTCCTTTTAGCAAGTACAATAAACAAAAAAAAAATTAACTTATTTAAAAACTAATTTATTAAAAAATATACCTTAACAACCAAAAGATAGATTTTAGCTTAATAAAACATAACTTTGTTCTATTTCATCAAATCAACTCAATTTAGTATTTTGCCTTAAATGCACTTTTGATCTCCATAATTGCATATGGTCTCTTACTTTTGATGGTCTTTGAATTTTTGTAATCTCCTTCCACTTTTGCATATGTAGCAGGGATGATTAGGACAAAAAAAATATTTTTAATTACTAATAATAATAATGACGAGTATGATATTTTATTAATTAATATAGGTCTAAGCCCATTTACCCACAACAACAATCTAATATCACTTATCCAATACAACTTAAACGTTGTATGGATATATGAGAGATATAAACACTTATATTATCATTTAAAAATTCAATGTGAAACATTAACACAAACATAAAAACACACATTTTAATTTAACTGATACTACAAACACGAGTCAGAGTCAAAACTCTATCTTTGTCATGGTTTCATAGCTGAGTTGGGAAGTTTAGAATCATGTTGATGAGAACATTAATACAAACATGAGAACAATCTTGAAAACAAATAGCAATGGAAACCTTGCACAATATCTAGAAGAGGCATAGTTTGACATATTCATCCATTTTCTAATATAACTTCAGTAATAGGAGCAACTTGAAGTGGCATATATCACATCCCTCATTGTGATAAACATATAAGCTATTTGAGAACTTGTACAATCCATTTCCTCTATCACTACATGTACAACCGATGAACAACCAGTAGGAGTGAATATGGAGGTACAGAAACTTCTTCTGATGCATGTACCCGTGCACAAAGTATTGTCATGTATCCATCACAAACATGACAATAACAATCTGAATAATTTGCTTGGTGAAAAAAGGTTGCACCGTAATCCTAGGTGCATTTGATGTTGTCGTCAACTGTAGAATTATATCAAACATATTAATCATTTAGCTACACAAAAACTATTTGGTTTGATTTACAACACAATAACTATTGTTTCTATCCGACATTTTCATAATGATACGACAACAGTTACTTTATTGTAGAGTTTCGTTAAACTATACAGTGTTCAATTTAGTATTAGAAACAGTAATCAGATCTATAATATAGTCGCTCCTATGCGTACAAATTTTTAAATTTTCAATTCACTAGGTTGTACATTTTAAGTGAACAGAAGCCAGAAATATAATTAACTTCTATGAAATGTTCATCATTTGCCAAACCAAACAAAAAAAAAAAGTCTCTCATGTTTTAGATACAATAAAATGCTATCAACTTAATTGGCATAAATATTTATATTTATATCTACAACTGGTTAGGACAAGAAGAAGTAGTTGGAGAAGAGAATGAGAAAGAAGGATAAAGGAGTAATGAAAATGAAAAAGCATGTTAAGGAATGGATACAAGTGTTTAATGTGCCACGTTGAATTTTTAAGTAATAATATTAGTGTTTATATATGTCATATATCTCTACAATCTTCAATTGGTATTGGATTGATGTTGCTAGTAAATGAGCTTAAGCCCAGAGATACATTTTTAATATTTTAATTAATTAATTATAAGATTTTAATTAAAATTATTAAATATTAATTTAATTAAAAATATAATAATTAATAAAATATGCTAGTCATTATTAGGTAATTAAAAATATGTTTTTTTTTATAATTTTCTAATAGAGAGACTAATCGATTAAAATAAGGTAAAACTATTGTTTAAGTCCGGTCTTTTAAGTTATTTTAAAATATCAAGTTAATCCCTTAAGTTTTTTTAACGTTTTGGTCTTTTTTTTTTTTAATTTATGTTATAATAAATTACAAACTCATATACCATTTGAATTAGTTTTTCGCGCTGATCACGAATATGTAATTAGTTTTGCGTTTGATTGTGTATTTTGGTCAAATCGTTGATTTTTTTATTATCTATTTCGTTCATTTTTATCTGATTTTCATAAACCGTAACTTGTGTGATAAATTTAATTGCATATTTGTGATGAGTTCGAAAAATTAATTCAAATGATATATAAATTTGCAATTTATTATAATGAAGATTTTTAAAAAGGTACGCCTTAAAAAAAATTTTAAAAACTAGTTTGATATTTTAAAATAATTTAAGGATTATGACGGGGAATCCAATCTCATTCCAAAGAGTTAAAATCTTAACCGTTAAATTATCAAATCCTATGATTAGGAAACCATAATAATTAACATTGACGCGAATAATGTCATATTTGACTTGTTCATAAGTTACATCTTCAAATATGATTCACATGAAAGATACACCACCATAACATTGTTTTTTGGGTTCAAATCAAACACCAAAACTTAGTTTGGCATACAAGAAAATGATACTCCACGAGAAAGTAGATAGAACACGAGAAGAAAACAATATTTTCTCAAAGATAAGAATCTTTTCAAACACTGTAATTTTCCTTTCTTAACTCTTTGACGAATTTACCCTTCTCCTTCTCCTTCTCCTAGAACCATTAACTTAACATATCCTTCTTAATGCCACTTCCTTCATCTTGTCCCTCACTAGCTACACCAATGAGCCTATAATGGGATTTCAAATTACAAATCTGCCTCAAGTTTCATCAACGAGGAAGCCTCTGTGTTTGTTGAAGAAGTCTCCTGATTTTGGAAAGTGTGATAGTTTCTCTGACAGCTGCCATTAGGCAAGTCAATGAACATAACCAAATTAGTTCAGTACTAATTGCTAAATTGAATTTTAAAAAGAACTTGACCCAAAAAAATTGACATAATAGAGTAAAAGTATTTACCTTACTGGCTCAATATTAAGTTGAATATGTTTAAGCAACACCGGAATAACAACATCCGGCGAGCTTAACTGCGGCAAATGACCATCCGTCCCCATAACCTCAACAATCGACTCGCCACCCAACTGTTGATGAAGATACTCCGAAACCATCACCGGAACCGCCATATCTTTCTCCGCCTGTATAATATGACAAGGAACCGTAACAAGCTTCAAAATCTGTCTCATATCACTCTGAAAAATCGTCCTCGACACTATCAAAGCTATGTCCGGCCTCATATTAAACAACGTCCGACTAAACTCCTGTACCGCCACAGAATCCATGTCTCCCCCTACAGCCAAAGGCGCAAACCCGTAACACCACGCTTTGTAATTTTCTGACATAGCAGTGAATAACTGGTTCAGATCTTCTTGCTCAAACCCTCCAAAGTAATTCACATCGTTCAAGTATCTCGGTGAACCAGAAACCATGATGAGTTTAAGAAAGAGATCAGGTCGAGAAATAGAAGCTATAGCACCAATCATTGCTGAAACCGAGTGACCCACAAATATGCAAGATTCCACCCGAAGCTCTTCTAGAATTGACAGTAAATCATAAGCGTAACCTTCTAAGCTTGAATGACGCTCGGAGTCAAAGTACTCAGGGTTTGTAGTACCAGCACCCATGTTATCGTAAAGAACAACACGAAAATCATCGACGAGATGGGGTACAAAGTGTTTCCACACAGATTGGTCTGTACCAAAACCATGAGCTAGAACAATAAACCTATTTCCTGTTCCCAACACTTTCACGTTGTGTGCTTCTTCCACTATCCCCATTTTCTGTCACAGTTTTCTTCTTCTTTTTTCTCTCTGGTGTGAGGTTGTTGTGACTTTCTGTGTTTGCTTAATAATTAAAGTGACTATTCACCGACTGTGTGAGTTGTGAAAAGTCGCGTCGTAGTATTTGGACTTATGAGGATGAGGCCACGAGGAACAAGTTGTGCCACACCTTAGAGATATTTCTGTTTAGATAAAGCTTAACTTGATATATAGAATGCGGTTTCATTGGTTAAATAAAAGAGATTCTCTATTGTTAGAAATTTATGGCTATACAGGACCGACCCTATTAATTGTAACTTGACATTATGCTTGCAAATTGCAACCAACATCATGGCATCAAACTCTTCTTACAGGGATTCCATTTATTATTAATGGGGACATGCTTCTCTTTTTTATGGAACAATGGGCCCCTGCTCGTGAATTATTCAAATTTGGGGGTTGGAGTTCCCAATTTTAGTGGTAAGAAATTATTTTATATAAATTGAAAATTGTTCTTCAAAACTTCGGAATTATATTTTTATATTTATTCTATATACATCACATTCATTAGTAAATAAGTCACATTTTCATTTTGAGATATATAACCGTACATTTTAGATAGTAAAATTTGAATTTTTTTAAAATTCTTATATTATATAGATCATTTATGATAAATAATCTAGCATAATAAATTTGTTATTAATTAAACCATTGATGTAACCAGATTCAAATTATATATATATTAAAATCAATCCATAATCTATAATATTATTAAAATGACAAATTATAAATCATAATACTATCTCAAGTTCATAATTCAAATACTATTAAATATTACTCGATATATCTTACTCCCTTGTTGCTGTTATGTCTCATGTACTGCAATGTCGTACGTGTCTCCGATAGAATGACATTTATAGTGGCCCTTTCATAAGTGCTTTTCAGAAAGTCTTCTATCTACGCTCGCTCGTACAATGGTTTTTATACGATGACATACATGTAACACATCAACATCATGATTTACTATAACTTGCTCCTCCTTTAATATCTCCTAATGAGTTTATCAACGTGGATCTCCGTGAACATTTAGTGTCATGCACTATTCCATTGGTGAGGAGTTGTCACACTTTGTACTTCATCTAGTGCTAGATGATTATAAAAATCACCATACACAACATCTACATCTCAACGGGCCATAGCAGGAGGAACATGCACATAGGGGTCTCGAAACAACCTTTAAATACACGAACTGACGCATGACTCGTTCAGGCAGACGTGAATACATTAGACGTGATCCATAAGCCAACCATCCAGAGTAAAAGACTATGTCATTCAAGGGATGCATTTGACAATGATTGTCATACGGTGTGTAACATATATCATCTGTTGTAGTGCAATCAAGAAACATTTTGAAGGGCTCAGTTTCCTGATTCCTTCTTAGTGAAAAGAATGCGCAAGCACGTGGCTGGTCCTTAGAGTAGTTGTCAACATATAACCAACCGAAGATGCGTGGAAAGTGTTAGAGGAACAATACTTGAAAATGGTACATATGAAATATTAGTAGTGACATAACACAAATGTTGTGAAAATGGTACAATAAGCAAATATATTATTGTAAACAATGTGCATCTTGCTGTCATCTGTCTGATCTTCCAAAGACAACCTCCAGCTAACTTCGAGTACATGTAAATCAAACAAGTACCCCCCCAATTGTACTCATGAATTTGGTCGAAGTCAACGAAGTATCTAAAGTAAACCACATCGCGTAGTTAACTTTTTTATTCACAAATATATGTGTGCCAACTAAATACATGAGGTATGACCTCAATGCACATGTTTTATAATGTTTAACTTGTGTATCATCACTGTCATCCTCCACCGCCGCAGCCAGGTGGTGTGTATACAACTTCTCAAAAAATAAAAATCTAGCATGACATTATATGATGTCTTCTAGCTCCTCTAGGGCATCCTCTGGGCCAACTCTCAAATAGGTTATCATCAAGTCCAATGCATTAGATGTGGTCATTCTGAAGTGGTCTAATAAGTTTTCCCATATCGAAAGATGTAGCAAGAATGACACATCATCAAGTGTGATGAACATCTCACCATGTAGAACATGAAAAGATGACTTCTCTGAGTGTCATCTCTTAACAAAAGTTAACAACATACCATGGTTAATAACAATATAACCATTCATGCATAAATCTTGTAGCCCAAATAGTTGCATTGCATCGTGAAGTCATTACTCCTCAGATTGTTATACCAACAATCTTCATACATTGTTTAATATATTTTAAAGCATTACGGTATTGCAAAAAAAAACATCATTGTCAGAAAACTTGAATATTATAACACATGTGTTTCAAAGAATAAATATAGAAAAATTCTACCTCTATGTCCACATGTGCCTGAAGGTTAGAAAAATACACAAGAAGTAGGGTTGAATTGTGTTTTCCATTTCTTAGTTTATATCTTATCAGAGTTCAGAATCTAAACTGGTGTTCAGATTCTTATTATACGTTGCAGCGGATGTTAATAGAACACACAAAAATTTATACTGGTTCCTACCAAATGAGAGTAGTCCAGTCCCTTTATAGCACAAAATATTTTCACCATAATCAAAATATGATTACAATCGCTTATGCACTTAAGCATAAAACTTTTCTTTGCTCAGACCCTCAGCCTGAGACTTCCTGCTTAAACCCCTCAGGTCCAAGACTTTTGCTCAGGTTCCACGAACCTAAGACTTCATTGCTTAAGTCCCTCAGACTCAAGACTTCTGCTCAGACCCTTTGTCAAAGACTTCCCTGCTTAGGTTCCATGAATCCAAGACTTCTGCTCAAGCCCCTCAGGCCTAAAAATTTCTTGCTTAATTTCCATGAACTCAAAACTTTCTTGCTTAGGTTTCACGAACCCAAGAATTCAGCTCAAGTTAATCAAGCCCAAGACTTCCTTGCTCAGACTCACATACCAATACTTCCTTGCCTATATCCCAAGGATTCAAGACTTCTTCTCAATCAACAATTGATTAAGACTTTCAATGCTCTAGCACATAGCAAGAGACTTACTTGGCTCAGGCTTCTCAGAAAGATACTTTACTGCTCAAGCACATAGCAAGAGACTTTATCTAAACTACTAAACAATCATGTTTAGTAGAATAGAGAACAAGGTGTACTTGATACAATTATCAGAGGTACATGGTAATGACCTTAACAAAGACCTCTAAGCGCTTAAGATTTCTAAGAAATTCAACGTTTAAGAAATCTTAAGGATTATTACAATTTACAACATATAGTAGAAAATCTGCATACTTGATTGTGTTGCTTATTGTATGATCTTGTTGTTCCTCCTCCAGACAGAAGTGTAGAACACTTTTATACTTGGTTTTCCTTCTATATTTGCCCTTTTGATTGCTCCCTTGTTCAAGAATTTAGTTTGAACCTTTAGTAGTTTATATAGCAGTTGTAGAAAATTAGTTGTTGGAAGAAATAACTTGAACAAGTATCTTTGTTTCTCCATAGTACAAGAGACGTTGAAGAGAGATACACCAAAAGATCTTAATCCATTATGTAACATGTTTCACCGTTGTGTATTCCATGTAATCTTGTACTATAAAGCCGTTGAGAGTGGATATCTGTAATGTATGTCAACTCTTCTTGAGCCTTGTGAACTTAGACTTTAGCTGACAAACTGATTTGACAATGCAACTTGCTTTCTACGGTATGGATAACTTTAGCTTTATCACTAATTTTGAATGATCACCACAAGCTAATTACACTCACCAAGTGTAAAGACAATATGTTGATTCTTCTAATGCTAAGACCTTCAGCTTCAGAGTCTACGTCAGACATCACTTAGAGAGTGTTATTATGATTCTACACCACCAGAAGCTAGTAATTCAGTTTCTTTCAAGTGCATCCTTATATATCAGATTTTGAATATATAACTTTAAGCATTAGAACCTACATACTTGGAATACACATTAGATAACACCATTGTTCTTTTAATATTTTGTTATCATCAAAACTCAAGGAATATATGTCATGAACAAATCTTGTTCTAACAGTGCCTAGCAGTATGGTTTACATACAAAGGCAGTAGTGAAATGTCATACGGGCTTCTTCTAAATTCCTCAGCAACAACATTATGAACAACAACATCGACAATAAGTGCATCAACATGGACTAGAGACACCTAAACTCCAACATTTTGTGCTTCCACATCAAATGAATTGGCACCAATCAGTGGTTGCAAGGGTTAGGCTCTCTCCCTACGAACAAATGCATGCTAGGACACTCTACCTTGCCTAAATCATTCTTGGTTGCCAACCATTTTACCTATAAATAAACCATACAAAGTAGAAAAAATAAAAATAGATGAAAGACATTAAAAATAAAACAATGCAGACATAATACAGAAGTGTACTTCCGTATTTCTGAAAAATCAAATTCATACAAAATACAAAAGTGCACTTTCATATTTTCCTGAAACTCTGAGAACGCAAAATGACAAAAAAATAGGGAAAACAAAAAATGGAATAAATCGTATACCTAAATAAACCACCTAACCATGAGTGTAACTACCTATATAATAATGTTTCTTAAACAACCTAATGTACCTATTTAGTAATGCATGAAGAGAAAATAAAACAAAATAAAGAGAAATGAAAAAACTTACCAAATGCGTAGTTGAAGTTGAAGTGTTTGGATTGAATGATGTTGAGAAGTAATTGATAAACCACTTGCATTGAATGGAGTAGAAAAACCACTTGGATAGATAAAACATTTTGGGGTATTAGAGAAGTGACTTGAGAAGGGATTCATATTTGATATGTTTTATTGGAAATGAGGAAGGGGGAAGGTCTAACGTGTATTTGGCTCAAACCTCGTCAGGAGGTATATTTCCATATCAGTTACCAAGATGCATTTATGTATTAATTTTTGACAAAATGAGAGTGTGACTCGCGTATAAATGGGTGGGGTGCATTTAGAAATGTATATTCAAATTATATAGACATT